GCAGAACTCTAGCTTCGGATCCCGCAGTCCCGGATACCTTTTCCTTCCCGCAAGTTGATACTAAAAAATAGCCTCCTGCGGGGTGCCCCGGGCCTCCCGCCTCCTTGTATTATTTATTATCCTCTAGGCCCTACTTCCCAGTTCTTGTGCATGCTATGAAAAATAAAACGTACGTGCATGTTTGTGGGGGGCGGGGGGCAGGGGACTGGTGCCCTTGGTGGTGTGTCTGCCCCTCCCCCACTGGCCCTCCAGGCTGGGCCTCCGGGACCTCCCATCTGGAGATGTGCACTCTGAGAGAGGTCTCTTGTGTGGCTCCCGCAGGGTTCCGGCTTCCAGTCCTCGCGGAGGGAGAAGTATGGCAACGTGTTCAAGACGCACTTGCTGGGGCGGCCACTGATCCGTGTGACGGGCGCGGAGAACGTGCGCAAGATCCTCATGGGCGAGCACCACCTCGTGAGCACCGAGTGGCCGCGTAGCACACGCATGCTTCTGGGCCCGAATACGGTGGCTAACTCCATCGGCGACATCCACCGCAACAAGCGCAAGGTAAGAGCTCTGGGTCAAGAGCCCCGCCAACCATACTCTGACCCTCTTTCTCCGTGCACCCACCTTGGGTTATGGAGTATGGAGTTCTCGCAGCCCTGTGGGACATCTCCACCCGAATCTGAGCCCCGGTTTGCACACCATGCTGTAGGTTCCCTGCGTAGACAGCTGCAATCCCGGATCAAGGGCTTGCACAGGCCTCCTCCAGGTCAGCCCTTTGAGCTGGCCTACTGCGCCGGACACAGTACCAGGCCCAACTTGTGGATATTTGGAGAGTGGTTTGGACAGAGCTCCAACGTGCGGGGATTGAGGAGTACTAACGTCTGTCCTCACCGTGCTCCCCAAAACTGGAAAAAGAAGAGGGTGGTCGGTTGCCGGAGCTCCATGTTTCCCGTGGGAATTCCGACGGATCATTCTAAAATCAAACCTAGCTTTCCTGCCACAGGTTGCTTTAATGGCGACAAGCGAGACCGTGTGTGTGTGTGGGGGGGCTTGGAGCACCTTGTGGGCAGTGGTTGCAAGGCCGTGTCTGGGAGGGGCCAGGTGAAATTTGGACCACTATGTGTATCAGACTGGTGGGGGAAGGGCGAGGGATAGGAGAGCAGGCACAGAGGCGGGGTGCGGGGATGGGTGGGGGAGATCAAAGCGCACCTACCCCCTCCCATGAAGAGGAAGAGAAAGTGGGTGTTTATCCTGTGGATTTCCCGAGCGCCTTGAAGAGGAGCGGAGGAGGCGAGCCAGCGCAGAAGGAGCGAGCCTCCCCGCCCCCTCCCAGTGCTGAGCTGCTGCAGCCGCCACTGCCGCCGCCGCCACTGCCGCGGCTGAGAGCGCGGGCGGCACGTGCTGTTTGAACTGCAGTAACCCGAAAGCTGAGCCGCCAGCAGGCGGGGCGCCGGCCTGCGGGCTTAAAGCGGCCAGAAGGGGGTGGGGGAGACTGCACGACCTCTCCTCCTTCCATTTTTTCCATTGGGTCAGAGGACTCACCCAGGTTTGAAACCCAAAGGAAAGGGAGTGTCAGAACCCAGGAGAGGAGGGAGCAACTGTGGGCAGCCCCCTCCGCCGGAAGTCTGCGTGTGAGGTGGTCTCGGGGAACGTAGGAATTCATCTTACAGTGTTTGATGGCTTCTGAACTGCCTGCGAAGAGTAGTTCTCCGTAGCAGACAAAAGGAGGAAAAATCACATGGAGGGGACTGGTCTGCGGTACCCACAACGCCCCCCCCCCATAAAACTTGTATTTCAGGGACTGGAAAGGGGCTCGTACAGTGGTCTCCTCCATCTGCCTCACTAAAACAAGAAGCAGCTAACACAGCCCAGGGTGGCTGGGAGGGAGCTATAGGCTCAGGAATGGGGACTTTTAAAATGTGGTGGACATTTTTTTTTTCTTTGTAACTCCACCAAAAGCTCATTGCAAAGGTTGAGGAAAGTGCCTGAGACTCACAAACCTAGCTCCAAAGAATGTGACTGCTTTTCATTTTTACCTTTATAGAGGCTTTGACAAAAAAGCAGTTATTGTCCCTTCTCACAGAAGGGGATTCCGAGACTCAGGTTGAGAAAGGCAAAGCAAAGGCAGGTGGGGCCTGCAACACGGTGTCCATGGCAAGAGGTATTGATGCGCTGGCCACCAAGCAGCCCTACTTAGTCCTGCCCGTGAGGCGCTGCCAGAAGCTGGGGGATGGAGAGCTGCCGGGGAGGAGAAGGCTTGTCCAGGACCTGAGTTTGAGACTCCGGGCTGCAGAGGGCTTCTGGGCAAAGCTATCACCCAGTGGTTCCATCCACCCTCTGCCTTACTAGACTATGGGCCTCCAAGTGGGGAGGGCCTACCTAGAAAGCCCCAAAGCCTACATTGTCCATTTGGGGAGAAGGGAGGAGGAGAGGAGGAAGATGGCATAGATAACCAATATCAGAGGAATACACAGGGAAGGAAGGGGTCGGGCAGGAGGGGGCAGAAACTAAGGACCCCAGTGAGGCATAAATGGGGCACACTTGCCCTCTAGCTCCCTGGGTATGGGGAGCAACCAGAATACAGTTCACCCTGACACAGGCTTCGGAACTAATGCAGTGGCCCTTCCTTTGTGAGTACTAGTTGTGGTCCTTGCTATATGACATATATATACACGGCCTTATGGTAAGTCCGTGCGCAAAAAAGGTTCTTCTCTCAAATCTCTCTAATTGGTGTTCCATGAACTTAAGTTTACTGAACAGAAGGCTTTGGATTAGGCATAAATATAAAAGCAGGAAATTCAGTCCTGGCCCTCAAGAAGTGGAGTCTAGCCAGGGGGATGAGAAGAGAATACTCAGGGGCACAGGTTGGTCCTGGAGAGAATGGCCAGCCTGCTGGACCCAGTGGACCCAATCTGGCCAGGGTGGGGGCTGCCGGGTGCCACTCACACTACCTTATCCAGCCCACGTTACAGTTGGGGACCTGGCTGGAGAGCGGGCTGCTGGGCCAGGCCTAAGCCTGGTTAGGATGTACTCGCAGGAAGTGGGGCCCAGGTGTGCAAGAGCCCGGCTGGCAGGGAATTAGGAGCGTCACTGTTTCCATTGGGGCTGGTGGCCCACCCCTTTTCTGGGAGGTCTGACCAGATGTGCTGAGAAGGGGCTCCTCACAGCCATCGCTGCACTCCAGGTGTTTGCCCTGGCTGCCCTGGTCGTCTAGTTTCAAGAGGGGTGGGTTTTCCAGGGAGAAAGTCCAGAAAGTCTTGCCCAGTCTAACAGTCCTCTCTGGAAGCCAGGCCTGTGTCCCTATAGCCACCACCAAACTCGGTCCCTCCTCCTTTGTTACCCCTCCCTCACTCTGGGACCTGGGGTGTCTCTAACTGATGGGAGAGGGCCCCCATCTCTTTTCCTTTTGTGTGCAGAGAGGCTGGGGTATTGTCCTGGAAGGGTGGATAGAGTCTGGTAGGGATGACCCGGGGGTTGGCAGACACGGACAAGAAGTCAGGGCAGTTCCGAAAGCCTCCAGTGCCCAGCCCCGCACACCAGAATCAGGCATTTCCTCTTTTCCTTTAGAGATAGGGCTGAGCCTCTGCACCCAGGAGCCAGCAGCTTCAGGGCACCTCAGACAGTGGCCTTCCCAGAACTTGGAGAGCATCCCAGGGGACATGCTTGGCCTTGGAGCCCTGGACTGCGGAGACCCAGGAGTGGTCTTCTTGCCCCTCTTACTCAGACCCCTCCCTATAGGGATTTCTCTGCCAGAGGCTGAGGTGGGCAAGATTGTGGAGGCAGGGATTAGGAAGCCACCCACTGCTCCTCACTAACCTGGCCTTTGGGCCCCATCCTGGTTAGGGGTGGAGTTTAGGCACAGGGCCGGCTGCATCCTGGGGTTTGTGTTGGAATGGAGAAGCCAGGCAGAGGTAGGAGAATCCGCGGTTGCAGGGTCCTGGGGGAAGCCAGCCTGGTCTAGCTCTGGGTGGCCTTTGGACCGGTGCACTGCCTCTGACTTCAAAATCATGTCCACCAGCCTCAGCTCAGGGCTGAAGTTCCCACCTGCATTGAATGGGAAGGCAGGTGAAACGGGCCAGGCAGCCCTGCTCCTGGAAGGACCCCCTATCATAGGCCTTTGTTCTGCCAGCTGAAGTCCTTCACCCAAAAGTTACTGTAACACCAGCTGGTGGGCACAGGAGCTGTTGAGGGGGCGGGTGGCAGGAGTGGAGCTCTCTGAAGGTCAGTGGGGGAGGGAGCCCACAGCCAGCCACCAGGGCGCCTGGGAGCGGGTGCCTCCCTCTGCATGCCCTTGTACCAGGCAGTGGGAGGGTAGGTCGGGTGGGAGCAGGGTTCACCCCCTCCCTTTTCCCTCCTTTCTGTGTTCTTCTCCCAGGGCGGGGAGGGGTCCAAGCCCGTGATGCTGATGTGTCTACTCAAGCTTCCAGCCTTGGAGACAATTGTGGTCTTGGTCGGGAGTGGGTGAGGGGTCCTGATCGGGGTCTGCTCTGGCCCTGAGTCTCCTATGCCACTGCTGTATCCAGTCCATGTTCCCCAAGTGGAAGGGCTGGGGCTGAGAAATGCTGAGAGCAAACCAGTGTAGCTTAAACAGCTGGCCTTGCCCTTAGAATAAACTTGGGCCAGAGACGAGGTTCCCTGTCAGGGCTCTTGGATAAATTCAGAGCCACCGGGATGAGTAGAGGGCAGCTTGATGGGGCTCGGAGTGGTGGGAGGCAGGGGGTTCAGGGACGTTGGTGCGTGTGGCCCTTCCTCTTAGGCTTCAGCTTTTCAAGGGGGTTTTACTATGGCTGGAAGAGGAATGAGTGGGCAAACCTTTTCAGGTTCTGTGGCTCAGCAGGTATCTTCCAAATGCTGCCCTCCCGCCCCTATTGAACGCTTTTGTTGTGTGTAGAACAGTTAGGGGAGCCGATTAGAGCTGGAGGCAAATGGGGGACAGATACTCTGACAGATGCTGGGAACCTAGAGGGTCATGCACAGGCTTGTGTGTGTGTGCGTGGGTGGGGGGGTGGAAGGAGGGCGGGTGTCTGGGCTAGCTCTTCCAAGCCAGAGGGGCTGGGTAGGGACTGGCTCAGGAGGCAGCCAGGGGGAAGTCCCGAGGCCCAATGGAAATGCCAGGCATCTGGGAAGATGACGTCCTCTCTTGTCCTCCCTCTTGAGTACAAAGTACACACCTTGGCGTCACCCCTGTGCTGTGCGGACAGCTGCCACGGCGGCTGCCTGCCCCTCTGTTATTCTTTCCACTCTGCAGGGCACAGCTCTGGTGGCTTGGCGGGGTGACCTACCCAGACTCCCACCCTCCCGGGCAGCCGCTTCCATTCCAACCAGTCTGAGTCACTGGCCCAGGGAGTGGGTTCCATTTTGAGCTCTTCCCACTCTCGAGGCTGCCTGGCCATTGGTCTGTCCACCCATAGCCACCAACAGAGAAGCGGGAGATGATCTGGCTGGGCAGGTCAGCACGCAGGGCCGTGGGGGTTCAGTGAGTGACTCCCCTTCCAGGGAGTCGGGAAAGAGGAGGGGGAAGGATTTGTAGAAACAATTATAGGGAATTTGAGCCCTGACAAGCTCCTAGTCCCTTCCCCG